CAGAGTCACACCACCTGACCTAAGAATGTGAGCTGAAGTTCCAGTTGGGATATTACCTAGTAGCCTAAAACAAAAAATAAGGTTTATAATCACCTTCTGAATCACTGGTATCGGACAATGGTGGCTCGTTTGAAACATATTGACGACCACTAAGCAGATTGCTTTCTACCACCGGTCGTTTATCTTCTAGTTGACGACGAAATGCTCGATGATCGTCCTATTGATAATAAGTGTATTATAAATAACAATATATCGACAACCCATTTTAACAGTTATACCATCTGTTTCTGCAAACTGGCAGCATCTCCTTTCATTGGACCTATTCCTAAAGAAGTTAGCTCAGTGTCCTTGCGAATTACCCACTCAATAAGTTCTCTCAAAGACAACAACAATGCATTCCAGTGCTCAGAGTTGGACTCTAGGCGATTCCTATTTGAAATAAATAAATCAATAAATAAATAAATAAATAAATAAATAAATAAATAAACAAATAAATAAATAAATAATCAAATAAATAAATAAATAAATAAATAAATAAATAAATAAATAAATAAATAAATAAATAAATAAATAAATAAATAAATAAATAAATAAATAAATAAATAAATAAATAAATAAATAAATAAATAAATAAATAAATAAATAAATAAATAAATAAATAAATAAATAAATAAATAAATAAATAAATAAATAAATAAATAAATAAATAAATAAATAAATAAATAAATAAATAAATAAATAAATAAATAAATAAATAAATAAATAAATAAATAAATAAATAAATAAATAAATAAATAAATAAATAAATAAATAAATAAATAAATAAATAAATAAATAAATAAATAAATAAATAAATAAATAAATAAATAAATAAATAAATAAATAATAAATAAATAAATAAATAAATAAATAAATAAATAAATAAATAAATAATAAATAAATAAATAAATAAATAAATAAATAAATAAATAAATAAATAAATAAATAAATAAATAAATAAATAAATAAATAAATAAATAAATAAATAAATAAATAAATAAATAAATAAATAAATAAATAAATAAATAAATAAATAAATAAATAAATAAATAAATAAATAAATAAATAAATAAATAAATAAATAAATAAATAAATAAATAAATAAATAAATAAATAAATAAATAAATAAATAAATAAATAAATAAATAAATAAATAAATAAATAAATAAATAAATAAATAAATAAATAAATAAATAAATAAATAAATAAATAAATAAATAAATAAATAAATAAATAAATAAATAAATAAATAAATAAATAAATAAATAAATAAATAAATAAATAAATAAATAAATAAATAAATAAATAAATAAATAAATAAATAAATAAATAAATAAATAAATAAATAAATAAATAAATAAATAAATAAATAAATAAATAAATAAATAAATAAATAAATAAATAAATAAATAAATAAATAAATAAATAAATAAATAAATAATAAATAAATAAATAAATAAATAAATAAATAAATAAATAAATAAATAAATAAATAAATAAATAAATAAATAAATAAATAAATAAATAAATAAATAAATAAATAAATAAATAAATAAATAAATAAATAAATAAATAAATAAATAAATAAATAAATAAATAAATAAATAAATACATAAATAAATAAATAAATAAATCAATAAATAAATAAATAAATAAATAAATAAATAAATAAATAAATAAATAAATAAATACATAAATAAATAAATAAATAAATAAATAAATAAATAAATAACGTAATGCACCGAATACCGGACAGTGTTTTAATTTGTACCATTCTTTTTTAATTAAATAGATTAAGGTGGGGCGTTTTGAGAATTTCGAAGCCCATGCAAAATATTACTCATTGATTTGGCACTTGTCTGGAAGGTCTTTCAAAACCAAACTTTCCGACAATAAATCACAAAAAATGGAAGTGTTTTTAAAGAATTATAGACAAAAGTGTGTTTCGGGATGATAAATTATAATATTTGTACCAACTTTCGGGGCGCACAACAAGAAAAATGCAATAGTGAAGGGGTAATTTATTTCAGGGTAAGATTGTGCTTTTCCAACACTCTTACGAAAAAATCGTTCTAGCTACGATCGGACTGAAAACTCATCAAAGTTCTGAAAGAGAGAGTTGAAAACCTTGAATGAGGCTTCCTACACACTTAGATTTTTTTCCAAGATGAGCACCACCGAGCAGCTCGGCATTTTATTTTGCTGGATCTCAGTGAAAAACTTGCCGAGATTCAGCTAACAAATAGGAATTTTGCCGAGATCTCAGTTAACAAACATACATTTTGCTGAATCTCGGCAAGTTTTTCACTGCGATCCAGCAAAATAAAATGCCGAGCTGCTCGGTGGTGCCCATCTCGGCAAAAAATTTACGTATGTATGTACACACTTAAATTCTTTCGTTGAGATTCCAACAGGCGAGTAGTTCTGCAATTTATTTTGCTGAGGTTCAGTAAAACTCAGACTCAGCTAACAAACAACATTTTGCTGAGATATCAGCTAACACATAAATATTTTGCAGAGACATCAGCAAAGGTAAATACCGAGGTAATTTGGATATTTTACCGAGCTAGATTAAGTGTGTATGGAATTACAGTAAACTCTCCATAACTCGATATTGAAGGGATCATCGACTTTTTATCTTGTTCGATTATTTGAAAGGCTCAATTACGGAGCCGATAATTCATTACTCGTTGTTTTTAACAAAATTCACTAATTTCTTTGTCTAGTAGGAGTTAGGCCGAATACTCGCGGCTTACCCGAGGTTAGAGGGGTTCATTGTCGAAGGATAGGATCAGAGGAAGAGCTTGGGGGTGCGGTTTCATTGTCTCATCAGAGCGTTGCCACCAGTAATTATCGACTTATAAAATAAAACAAAAGATTTTTTTGTTTGTCCATACTTTTAACAATAATCTTGAAATATTCCATCTACTGTAATATCTGGTCGCTTAGTTACCAATTTGAATTAGATTTTTAAGAAGTAATTTACGACAGTTCTGTTCTGCGAAGTTAATTCATAATATTATGCCAATATGAACAAAACCATGCCATTAGACTGTCAATTCTTTAAATACAATGTGCAGCATGAAAGTTTCTGGTTCCATGATAGATTTTAGCCATTTACCCAAGGACGCCTAAAAAATGCCGAATTGTATACACGATATAATTCAATATAATCACAAATGATCGAATCATTTAAAGCTCATGAGATTTGATTATTCGCACAATGGGTGCTGCTTTTAGTTTGTTTTGATCACATTTCTAGGAATATTTCTGAGTAGCACTATCGCCCTGAGTACTCCAGAAAATCGGTTTGAGATTTGATTATTCGCACAATGGGTGTTGCTTTTAGTTTGTTTTGATCACATTTCTAGGAATATTTCTGAGTGGCACTATCGCCCTGAGTACTCCAGAAAATCGGTTTGATTTGTATTATGATAGATTCTGGTATACATTAAATATACGGACAATTTTACTGAGGACATTAGAAAAATGTTGTGATGTGGGCGATGAGTCCTGGGCATACAATATGAGCATTAGTTATCATGTTTTAAAGTTCCTTTTACTTTAACATAAAAATCACATCAGCTTCTAATGACATATATAATTATATAATCAAAATAACATTACGTAGAACATCGACCAAAGGAGAGTACAATGTATGGAAAAATGTAGGGACCGGTATAGAAAATATAAAGTAATAGAATATCACTGACTGTAGTCCAAGTCCAATGCTTGGAGTTTTGAGAAATCTTAATTTTTTCACTGAGGTCGAACTTTTGCCCCACCTTACTGTATTACACTATTATGGGCTACAAAATGGAAGAAGCAGAATACCTAGCTCTCGTGATGATGATGATGATGATGATGATGGTCCCACCTCTTACCCCTACAAAGGTTTGAGCTGGACGAGTTATCTTTAAGATAATTAAATATAAACATTTTAACCAGGTTTGCAAACAAAATAGAGCTGGTTACAATTACAGATATAAATGTCCTGTTAAATATGCTATAGGCATCAACCAAAAACATTCAAAGGTGTAACTAGTTATCAAAAGTCCAAGTATAGTCCTCGACAATACTTCCATTTACACGTGACCTGGGATTTACACGTTTAAGCTTCGGCAGTGCTAGGACTATATCCAAGGAAACGACTTCCAGCCAACCCTTTACTAATTCAAGGCTTTTGCCACAATTTCCACGTATTAGTCATTTATACCTGTATTCCGCGCGCGAGGCTCAAACCATTATAGACTACTCAAAGCTATTTTTACTATTACTACTACAAAATCAAAAATTTAAAAATCCATCATCACCATCGAGGCAAACAATGTAGTTTTTTGTATATGCTACACAAATTACTAAAATGTCGTTATGACAGTCTCCATACAAAATAATCCGTCAAGATACATGATTTATCCATTCATAAAAATTTAACTGCTCAATAAACAGCTTTTACATTTGAAATGCAGCGTCTCTTGAATTCTGTAAGTGTAGTTGCACGCTTGATGTGTCTAGGCATCGAATTGAAAACATTTATACCTTTGAAAAATAATGAATTTTGTGAAGCAAAAATTGTCTTAGATGTGGTGTTCTTACTTCATCCGCGTTTCTAGTGTTATATCTATGAAAATCACTTCCTCTTTCAATCCGATCACACAAATATCGAGGCAGCAAACCGTTAACTACTTTAAAAATGAACACCATAGTCAAAAACACAATTCTTTGCTTCAATGACAGCCATTGCAAAGCGTCCAGCATAAAAGTTGAGGAAGTGAATCTATTACATCTTAAAATCAAACGCATTACTTTATTCTGCAAACGCTGTAATCTCGATATTTGTGTTTCATTGGCCAAAAATAAAATGGAAGGGCAAAAGTCTAGATGAGGGGAGATGATTGATTTGTATAACTATATTTTACTACCAATAGTTAAATCGTTTTTCAAGCGACATAGAATTCCATACTTCTTGGCAATTTTCTTGATGACATTGTCAATATGAGAATTGAACTTGAGTTTGTCATCAATAATCACGCCAAGATATTTAGTTTCCTGAACGCGATCAAATGTCTCATCATCAATAACAACAAAGACATCATCATCTACACGATTCCGCGAAATTACCATGAATTTAGTTTTACTTATATTCAATTTCAATTGTTTATACTTCAACCATCTACTTAGAGAACGCAAATCTTCATTCAAGCGTGAAACGGCTTCTTCTAAATCTTTAGCTGCAATGAACAACACAGTATCGTCAGCAAAAAGATTAATATCACAAAACCGTAAAACTATATATATATATATATTATTATATACATAATAAATAAAAGGGGCCCTAATACACTTTCCTGAGGCACTCCAAGGTCATTGTCAACGGGACAAGATACAAA